TCTGGATGGAGGATGGTCTCAACAACCTCGGTTGAGAGACCAGAAGCTATGAGTTGTGCCTCCTAGAGGCCACACCCACAGCTTCCACAGCTCCGGGCGGGGGCACACCCTCCGCCTGTGAGAGGAGATCTCTCCTGACGGGAATCTCCCATGGAGTGCCGTCGAGGATGAGGAATCAGGTCCAAGAACCATACTCGGCCCGACCAGAACGGGGCTACTGGCAGTCGACTGACCTCGTTCCAGCGCACTCTCTCCAGAACTCCCGGGAGCAGAACAATCGGGGGAAAAGTGTACAGACAAAGCCTCGGCCACGTCTGTACCATGGTGGAGCTGGATGAGTCCGAGAGAGAACCAGAGGGGACCGTGCGATATCATTGTCGGTGCGCACCAACACATAGCGATCTCTTAGGCCTGGGAGGTAATGTTTCAAAGCTAGAAACACGGCCAGCATCTCCAGTCAACTTATGCACCATGTGAGATGGCGGCCGCCCACAGCCCGCGGACCGAGCGGCCACTCATGACTGCTCCCAACCGGTGAAAGATGCATCCGTCGCTAGCATATGCGGCGACCAGGAGCTCCCAGCACCAGGCCCTGACATAAGAACCAACGCTTCCTTCACATGTCTAAGGCACGTAGGCACCGCCGCGTGACCTTGAGCATGCGAAGTGGGTTTCCCCTCGGGGAGAACCCCTTGGTCTTAAGCCACCACTGTAGGGGTTTCATGTACAGCAGGCCAAAAGTAACCACGTTGGACGCGGCTGCCATCAGACCCAGCAGTCTGGAACTGCTTGACAGTGAGTGACCGGCCTTCTCTCACTCTCGCGACGAGGATTGATTCGATCCGAGAAGGAGACATACGTGCCTACATCGTGGTCGAATCCCACACCCCGCCCAGATAAGTGGTTCTCTGTACCAGAGAAAGCACACTTTTCTTGGCGTTAAGTCTTAACCCCAGCTGTTTCATGTGAGCGAGAACGACATCTCGATGTTGAACTGCCATCCACTCTGATTAAGCTAATATCAACCAATCGTCGATGTGGTTGAGTCGTGAAAGTGTGGGGTGAGAGTGCAAGGCCAAAGGAAGAACTTGATGGAGACATGTACATCTTTTAGATTTTTAGATCGTGCCAAACCAGTCCTCTGACTTGATCTGAGACACGACTTGTTTGAGTGCGAGCATGCTGAACTTCAGTCGCCTGACTGAGCAGTTCAGACACAGATCTAAAATAGGATGCCACCCTCCATCCTTTCTTGGAACGGTGAAGTACCGACTGTAGAACCCGGCCTCTGCTACGTGAGGAGGGACCACCTCGATGGCCTCCTTCCTCAAAAGAGTAACTTCTTCTGTTCCATGACCAGAGCCTGCTCGGGACCCACCATAGTGG